CCTCGCACTACGCACACATCATACATACATCACATAGTAAATACTCCCTGGAATTAACCAGCGCACTTTGAAACGGCCTATTCATGTGTAATGTTTAACTTTTCAAAAAACCTTTTTTTTTTTTGTTATTTACCTGTTTTGATAACTGTATGTTTACTGGTTTAATTAACTGTTTGTTTACCTTTTATTAACTAATTTGTAATTGTTCTTCGGTAACTGCTTTAGATTTCGCCACCTGTACGGTACGGTGCGTTCAATCTCCTCACCAGTCCACACTTCATCGTATCAACTCGCATGAAACCTTGAATCAGATTCGACTTACCATCTCTGCCATTATGTGACAGCAATAAAGCTAGTGACACACGCGTTCGCGCGCTGACAGGGTACGTCTCGCACACACGCAATGACAGCATGACACAACATTATCATGGTGATGCATGCACAGTGGCCCTGCCACCCACCACACTTAGGGTTACTTGACTTCCACCTGTCATGTCTGATTCAACGTGATGCAAATGGTATTCCACGCTCAGGTGTAGTCCACAACCACTTCACATCAGGTTTCACGTTTGTCACGACGCTTCAGCAACCCTCACAAAACGATCTTGAAGAGAAGGAATCGAATTCTCTGGTCTCACACAACGTTAAACCTCAATGTGCTGTGCAGGGACGCGAATATTAGAGTCCTCTCTCTCAATTAGCTTGCATGCCATGGTTAATAACAGTTGGCCAGACAAACTGAAATCCTCTGTGGGTGTAATCAAAGATGAACCCATCCTTCCCATCTCGAATGGCAAGTATATACCGTTTTGACTCAACGGCGAGGCAAACACTGGAAAGTCTTATCCAAGAGCGATTTACATCGAATGGCTTGGTCACTGTGTACACAATGGGAGAATTCTACCCTGCCCAGGAAGCAGTCACTGTCATGATTAACAAACAGCATGTCAAGCGAAAGCGCGAAACAGCCTGATGCGATGGCTGGGAGAATGAGCGATATTGGGAATGAACAAAGGACAACTCCTATTAGAATTGATGTGAGAACGTTTGAATTCAAACGGTGGCATTCGCGACCACTCGGGTGGTCGGATTCCCCGGGACTCGTGAGGTCAACCGTGTCATGCAGCAAATCACAACGGTCAGTTGGAAAAGACTACAGGAATCACGAATAGCCGATTCGTATCGTCATAGCGAGAATAACAAGTTAACATGCCTGTTCGTAAAGTCCTGCACGATCACTTCAGAAGAGTGCTGGACATACTACTAGCCACACTTTAAGTTAGTGTAATATCGAAAAATAGCTTATAAACATTAGTTATAGCTCATTTTGCTTTGAGGTTTGCAGTAGTTTTCTTTGCGTATTCCATGCAGTCGTAGATTATAAAAAACACACTGGTAGTGTTATCAGTTGACAGCATTTATCGACCTACAGGCAGTATAATTTATAACTAGGACAATGCCAGTCGCAACGTTCAGCTGGTAAATTCGTAATAATCGAGGCCAGGTGTCTCTAGTACGATGCGAGGTACCACTGACCTGGATACCAGGTACTTGCGGTATATAATCAATGCGTATTCATTCTAATGGCTTTATTATTTGTTATATTGAGATTAGCTCGTCGAGTGCTATAGCCTTCGTTACCACAGGGCATTTTTTTTAATAATATATTTTCATTAACGTTTCTTAAATATGTCTTATTTTTAGACGAAAGAAAGACGACGCAAGAGTATGACGCGTGTAATGTGATGTAAACACGCCGTCAATGCTCAAAGCGAAAATCCCAACTTAATGCAGAGGCACAGTTGTTGAGCGATAGTACGACTCCGCATCTAAAGAGATTCATGTAGAGAGCGTCATTGGTTAAGCAAGTCATTTTGAAATATTAAAAAGAACCTGCGCCGCCCATCAGAAATTTCTCGTCCGGCTGGAAGAATTGTTAAGGTGGTGCTCATGATTTCCAACTTTTAGGCGAGCTATTGTCAAGCAGGCTAATGCCTAGTGTCTGCTAGTAATGCTGCATTTTGAAATAAAAGTATATATAATTTGCTATTGCAATATTGAGTCTTCGTAGCTTTAATAATCTCAATAAACATATTACATAAACTCCTGAGCACACACAACAAGAATAAACATCCGCACTCACTATGGACGCAGCCACACACGTACCTGCAACGGCACGCACCGCACACCACGCACGCGCACCTTGTACGTCGCATATGTACGTGCACACGCACGCCACCATTACACGTGGACGTGCACACGCACGCATGCACGTACATGTATGGCCACACGCACACGCACGCCACACACGTGCTACGTACGCGACGCACGCCACATACGTGTAGTGCAAGACGACACGCACCTATGCACGCATGTTACCGTGGCGCCACGCACCGCAGCTAAATTAGGCACTGCAATGCACGCCCTGTACGTTGCCATACGCCACGCACGCAAACACACACGTACGCATCACACACGGCGTACGTACACCACGCCACCCCGCACCGCATTGCACGGCACGCAGTACGTGACACGCACGCACGCACATGTACGCTGCACACGCACGCCACACACGGGGACGAGTGCACACCCACGCACGCAGTTATATATTCGTCAGCGGCAGGAACTATAGGTCGTGTACGAAGTAGGCGGGCTTTCTGCAGGTCCATACATGCTACTATACATACTATACGATGAATTCTCAATAAACATTATTACATGAACTCCTCAGCACACACAACAAGAATAAAAACCCACTTCCCCATCACTCTATCCCGGGTGTGCATATGGTTACGCGGATAATCTTCACCTCTGCAGATGTGCTGCCCTCCAGCGGCAACTGTTTCTAGCGGCTAACCCCATTGTTTTTCCCTACAGCCCCCCTCCCCAGGATCACTTTTACCACACTGTAAGCTCTGTAGACTCACCTTCCAGGACCCGGTTCCACAGTCGTAGATTAACTCTTAACTCAGAGTTAAAAGTTAACTCAGAGTTAAATTCCGTTTCACAGTCGTTGATTAACTTTAACTCTGAGTTAAATATGCCTAACTCAGAGTTAAAATTTAACTCTGGTTCGAACCTGGATTAACTCTTAACTCAGGGTTAAAAATCAAGTTACATTCGATCTATGATTCGATTTAGTTATAGATAGTGTTCGGTATAATCCTTTAGACTAGTTTCTACAAGGTTAGTTTAGCTCTAGGGTACTAGTACTAGGGCTAATTAGTTTATCTAGTACTGTCCCGTGTCCGATCCCCCGCTGCTCCTGGAACATAGGTGTTTGTTTACTTTTGGTGTACATTGGTCAGCCATTGATGGCGCACCGATGCTGATCCAGGCATCCGTACTTCTACCATGTTCGTGCGTCTATCATGCGTCTATCTTCTATGCGTCTATCATGCGTCTATCATGAGTCTATCGTGTTCATCTGTTCTAACTACGTGGAATTATGGGATACTAACTCTGAGTTACTTAACTCAGGATTTAATCCATGTTTATGAAACCCAAATTTAACTCGGAGTTTACTAACTCAGAGTTAGTGAGTTTAACTCAGAGTTAGTCTTAACTCAGGGTTAAAGTTAATCCACGACTGTGGAACCGGGTCCAGTACATTAACACAGAGCACGTGCAACTGCAACTGTGCAAGTTACTTAAACTTTCGCAGGATAAATTTGCCGACACCATACAATGATGACAAGACAATCGATGACACCAAGTGGTAGCACCAGTCGGTAGCACCAGGTGGCAGCACCAGTCAGCGGCACCAGGTGGCAGCACAACATTGCAACCCCGGTCAGTAGCACAGCACAGCAATGTTAATCTATTCGTCGCAAAAATTTCGCTTCCCGTCTACCAGTTCCCGACACGGTTCCAGGTGGCAGCACCGGTCGGCGACACCAGGTGGCAGCACTCACCTTGTCCATGAGCGTGATGATCTGCAGGATGAGTTGGTCCTGCCGCAGGTCGTCACCGTGCTTCAGGATGGACACGTACTCCCCGCCGTCGGCCGTGCGAAACGTTAGCTTGCTCGGCATCAACGCGCTCTTAAACAACGTGCACTTCTCCGCAATGATGCCAGTCACCTACCGAGGAAATACAGAGAGATAGAGAGAGAGAGAGAGAGGGGGAGAGAAGGGGAGGGAGAGGGGAGAGAGGAGAGATGAGAGAGGAGAAAGGAGAGAGGAGAGAGGAGAGAGGAGAGAGGAGAGAGAGAGCAGAGAGAGACGAGGATGATGATGAAGAGAGAGGGGAGAGAGAGGGGGAGAGAAGGGTGAGGAGAGAAGAGAGAGAGAGAGGAAGACAAGCGAGGAGAGGGAGAGAGTGAGAGAGGAAGAGCAGAGAGAGATGATCGAGAGGGAGCAGAGAGAAAGAGTTCAGGCGATAGTACAAGAAACGAGCAGAGATATAGAAAGAGAGAAGCAAAGACGAGGGAAAGAGAGAGGAAAGAGCGAGGGAAAGAGAGAGACCAGAGAGAGAGAAATTAGGCATGAGAAAGAGGGGAGAGAGAGTAAGACTTGACTATGTCGTGTGGCATTACTCTTTTAGCGCGAGAATTTGTGTGCTATTTTACCAGACTGCTACGAAGAAAATCTATTTTCATGCTTACGAGCGAGTCGAGCCACTACGTGGCTGGGGCTAATGCAGGAAGGCCCCAACTTTAGGCCTACCTTACACTGTGGAATCGAGGGCAGCGGCAGGGCTTCGAATTCGATGTGGGAAAGTTCACCTTGTGTGATCCTGCGGTGTCAGCTTAACACTGCCTGCAGCTATCTCTATCTGTACCGATCAACAATTACATCCGATAAGTATAAGCCTTAATGCATGAAGACCATGTGAATGTGCACGCTACTAGCCTTCATCGTACAATACTCCTAACATTACGTTCACACGGCACGCACGCGATGCACACATACACAGAACACACATAATATGCACGCCGTGCACGCCACACACACACACACACACCACACACACAGACATACACAAACACACATCATACGCACATACCGCACACACGCACACACACACGCGCACGCACGCACGCACGCACGCAACGACACGCACGCACGCACGCACGCACGCTACGCACGCACGCACGCACGCACGCAATGCACACTACACAACGCACATATACGCACATACACACACCACGCACGCACGCACGCTACGCACGTTACGCCACAGACACACACCACACACACACACAACACACACACACACACACACACACACACACACACACACATACACAAACACACATATACGCACACACGCTCCGCACACTTACACATATACACACACACACACTCACACACGCACGCACGCACGCACGCACGCACGCACGCACGCACGCACGCACGCACGCACGCACGCACGCACGCACGCACGCACACGCACACACACGCACACATATGCTTGCTCGTGTGCTCAATAGTATGCACGCCGATAGCTCTGATGACATCTTATATCATGCTGATAGAAGGAATGGTACAATAATGATAACGATACCACAGTGATGCAGTAATAACATGATATACCACACTATAGAATATGAGGAGATTAAGCAACCACGCACACGGTGGTCATTTAGGCCACAATTAAAAAAATTGTTTTTGTCTTTGTTTGCCCTCACCCGACCCAGGCTGAATAGTTTGGGTGGCTAGGTAGGCTTTTTTTGAAGGGGGGGAGGGGGGGGGTCTTTTTACAAATTCAGCATGGTGTCTACATGCTCAGGTGTGCTTGTGTGGAGATACCTTTTATGTTGAATGTTTGGTACATATAATGTATTGCCTACAGATTTATATAATGTACAGTGATACAATTTGTTAAAAAAAGAAAGAAAAAAAGATCAATTTAAAATTTTTTGAGTCGGCCCCTTTTTGGCGGGTCGGTCGGGTGAGGGCAAACAGACAATATTTTTATTATGGCCTTAGCTTGACCCACCTTCTTCACTCTATCCTTGCCTTCCCTTGCGATGACCTTCATCAAGGTCACAAGCTTCTCGATAAATGTCTGTTGGCGGGCAAGCAACGCCCTCAGCTGTCTACATTCCAACCCACCCTGGAAACAAAACAGTATAGCACCTCATCAAATCAATCAATCAATCAACTAATTAATCAATCAAGCAAGCTATATATCTGTCTGTCTGTCTGTCCGCCCATCTGTCATTCTGTCCATCCGTCCATCCATCTATCTATAAACCTATCAATCTCTCTATCCATCAACCAATCAATCAATACACCAAGCAATAAATCAATCAGGTAATGAATGAATCAATCAACCAACCAATCAATCAGGCAATCTGTGAAATCGATAAATCAATAAATCAATCAACCAATGAACATCTTCAATTCAACTTTCACGCACAGCTTTTCCACCTTTACATGCTCACATGTTCAACTGACCACGTCACGAATTTGCTATGGTATTTGTAAAATTATTTACATGGTACTAATGGCACTAAATGTATCCTCAAATTATTACCTGATAAGATTATTTATCAACTAGTTAAAAAGCCAAAAAATCTGGGCGATTTAATATATTGATCATCACATTAAATGCTTGCTATGGGCTATGTATGCGTCACGAGTGTTTGTTCACATCGAACGGAATAGCAAAATAGGAAGTATAATGCAACAATTTATCCATAAAAAGAGAACAGAATCACTTATACTTCGTGTAAAAGTGGACATGATTTTTTTACTTTTACTATTTACGATGACGTAATTGCTTTCAGACCATGAACATGTGAAGTGTTTCCGCGCGCAGCGGTGAACGTGTGTTGTTTGTTACCTTGTTAAGTGCAGTGCTGAATCTCTTCATCACGACAATGTACATGTTCTGCAGCCGGCTCTCCTTCGTGTCTGCGTGGGAGTCACCACATTCCACCAGCAGGTACCTGCAGCCACACCACAGTGTCATCACAGTGTCACCAGTGTCATCACAGTGTCACCAGTGTCATCAC